ATACGCCTTGTTGACTGGTGAGTGCCAACAAGCATGAAACCTAGGTCGAGCAAGGCTTCCTGTGACCGATTGCCTCCAACCATCTAATATCATCAAATGAATGTGCACCGTGATGGCGAGCAAGCTAGAATGGCGGACACATTACAGCCTGACTGATAGAAATCAGTCTACGCCAATCAGAGTACTGGACGCATCACACTAGTTACTACTGTCAAATCAAAATAGTCGAATATATTTTTCCAGCGCCTCAGATGCAACTTATCTGGAGACATTAAACAGGTATTTAGATCATTACTTATGTCTTTTCAGCAAAATGCTAGTCAGTGCTGATGAAATGACCAAACTAAATGATCAGTTTCATTCTTTTGGTGGACAGTCAATTATTATTTTTGAATTACTTCTAACTCTTTAGACTAATCTAGTCCTAATTTTTTCGTCTTTACTTATAAACTTACTTATAACAACATTGGTTGAAAAAGGTGTCCAAAGGAAACGTATCATATGTTCTAAAAAATTGATTAAAAAGATTTTTCTCATTTTTAGGCATCGACCTCATCCCATGCTTAAAAAATGATCAACGATAACACAATTTAAAAGTTGAAAAAAGAAATTCTGTAGCAAATTAATTAAACTTCGTCTAAACTTTGTCAAATCAAGTTACCTATGAGAAATAATGTTGCCACAACGATCTAAACAAATTATATTTATTGCTTTGAAGTAACATAAACAAACTGATAATCGTAAATGTATTAAAAACGAATTGGTTCGTGAGAAAAAAATATTCAGAGCAAATACTTCATTTTCAAACCATTTCAAACAAAGAAATGGAACTAATGCAAGAATCAGTGTTCAGGATGAAATACTGAGACATGAACTTCAGTCACTTGTGGAAAATTAAGAATCATAAATCTTGCTAACCTAATGAATTTATTAGCTTAGTTGAGATTCTCATTGGAAGTTTATGACTAGGCTGTCAATACTTTGTTCTTTTCAAAGACTTTCTTACACAAATATTTTGGACAAAGCGGCTTCACTGCAGTAAATGCTACTTTATCGATAAAATTAAATACATAAAACAGTAAAGCAAATAATCTTGTGGTCCCACGATTATCAATATAGTCCAAATTTATTTTAACGATGTCTGAACTTCCGTCAAATTATTATTATTGCTCGCTTGGGTTCCTAGTGGAACATAGGGCTTCAACTGCACGTCTCCATTTGCTTCTGTCTTCTACTGTACTTTTCACCGGCATCCATGTTAGTCCATACTCTTTCAACTCCTCTTCACACCATCTCCTCCATGTCACCCTTCCACTGACGTCCCACTCGCCGCTTCCCTTTCGGGTTCCACTCGAGGGCTTGGCGCGCGATGTCACCAACCGGCCTCCTCAGCAAGTGTCCAATCCATCTCCACTTTCTCCTGCATATTTGTTGGGCGATTGCTTCTTGTTTTGTTTGTTCCCATAGTTTCTTGTTGGTGATACTTTCCGGCCGGCCATCTTATATTCATTAAAGAGCCAGCGAAGAAAGTTGTTGGTTGATGAAGGTCTGCAACAGGCTGTTGGAAATACCTGTTCTTTGTGACCCGCCCGCCAAGTTTCTGATCCGTATAGAAGAACTGACTTCACATGTGTATTGAAAATCCTACCGAATTTTGTTGTTGATGCTGAGTTGAGTGACGAAGATTTCCAGAGTGGTTTCAGGTTAATGAATGTGTTTCTCGCCTCCCGATTCTCGCTCGATTTGACATCCTCGTCCGTTCCGACTTCCTGTAGTTGAGACAATGCTCTCTAGATGATAAGTGAATGAAGTAACCTCTATCAAATCCCTCCCGTTGATGGTGATTGACGTTGGATGTTGCTGCTGCTGTTGTTGTTGTTGGTTAGTTAATTATTTTCATCACCTCCGCCTTGTCTATGTTCATCTGGAGTCCTGTCTTTGCCGGCTGCTTCTTCGACCAGTTTGTCGGTTTTCGCTTGTAAGTCTTCGATTTTGTGTGACATCACACATAAATCATCCACGCACGAAATCCAGGTCTTCTTGGTTCTTCACGTCTGTCTGTCCAGGATATTCTTGTCTTCTTGTTTCTCACTGTCTCCGTCAGATAGCAAGTTAAAAAAATGAGATAAGTCAAAAAAATATCAAAGAATGTAAAAATATTGTTTATTATACAGAGAAATAAATTACTTAGGTAATGTAAATCACTTGTTAAAAGGTACAGTATTCATGTCAAATATGAAATTAACACGATGCATTAAAAGTTCAAACTACTCAACTCAAAAGATGTAAACCTTTTAAGGAGGTTGAGGTGGATAATGTGTGAGGACACTTAACACGATTTACATTTTTAATTGTAAATAACTGTCAAGTCGTAGAAGTTTTCTTCACAAATAATAATGAATGAAAACGTGGATGAATGAATTTCAGTCCTTCCCGTGCCTTCAGGTCCTTAATACGCTTATGGGTATGGTGATTTGCCGCCTATTGTAAAATTATTTCCTGAGAACTAGGTGCCACTGTGATTGGAAACTTCACCTTTTCTCCTTAGTGTTACATTAATTCTTTTCTTATGGTCTCAGAAGTATTTCAAATTTTAGGACAATGCTGCTTTTTATTTTTTGTGCACCACACCTAAATGCTCATTCCTTGTTTGCTCAGAATATATTTGAAAAATAAGTGTTGAAACGTTTTTGCCTAAATTTTTGAAGCTGCATAAATCTTATAATTCCTGTTAATAAGTGGATAAATTAGGAAGACTGAAGAAAAACCTTTGTTTAACGTTTATGAACATCATTTTACCTTTTGAAGATCCAATGAATGAAGATATATACCTGCAAACAACCCAAAAAGAGTCCAGAGTAAATGCATTCATATTATATCATTGCAATAACTGTTTATCTTTTAACACTTCTTACTATTTTAAGGAAGTCATTCCAATAACTCTGAAGGTTATCATATGTTTACAAGCACTGATTTTAAATCGCTAACTAATTTGTTTTATTTTTTATTTTTTTATTTTGATTACAGCTTGATTCCACACTGTATTTTTGGTATAAGTATGGAATTTTCAGTATGGATATCTGTAGCCCAAATTTCGCAGGCTGACCATAGATATCAGGTGTTCGTCGGCAGCGAATCGAACCTCGGACCAGGTGAATGGTCGGCGAGAATCCTAACCACCGTGCTACCAACGCACAGTAGACTACGTGTTTCATTGTTGTTTCTTTTCATTAGAAGGATTGAGTAACATTTTGTCATAACATAAAGTTGACCTCAATAAGGTTCTTGTAGATCTAAATACCTGAATTCAAATAATATGAAATATCAGTTAGAGAACCATTGAAAACCGGGGAGCACTCGACAGCTGTTTCATCCTAGTTTGGGAATCATCGCCAGTACGCAACCAACAAAGGAGGTTCGAACTCAGTACGTTCCGGTTACAAGACAAGCTTGTATACCATTCAGCCACCGGGACTCAATTCAATGGCTCATGAATTCTAACTTCTATCAATTCGTGACCTAGTGCGACCCTAACCAGTGTTGTCGGTGAGACATCCATTCTCACACGTGACATCTGGATGGACCTCACTGGTCACGACTTCTCACAAGAACTCCAGTGGGTGCGTGCTGCCGATGATTCCCAAATCAGGATGGAACAGCAGCTGTCCAGTGCTCCCTGGTTTTCAATGGTTCTCTAACTGATATCAACCCGTGATTAATTCATAAAAATAAAACTAATCCTTACAAACCAACTATAGAAAATGTAAAATATCCCTAACTTTTAAAGTTTTTTATGTCAGTGAATAAATGAAGCATTTTAAGGTGACATGCTATTACATTTATCAAAATGAATGATGCAATAATTCCCGTTATAGTAAGTCATCAGTGAATAAACTCTAAATGCCAGCAATACGTTTCAGTGTCAGTGTTTTTGCTGGAATATACGAGGAACTGTTTAGAAAAATAATTGCTACCAAAATTGAAAATAGTGACTGATGAAGTTTAGTTTTTAAGATGATAAATTCAGATTTCTGGTTTGAGGTTTTATTCAAGACCTGGTTAAAGGGTGATGTATTCTACAAAAATACAGACATGGTTTGTAATTACTGCTCCAGATACTATAATGACTTTAATCTCTCCTATTTAAACTTAGAATTATTATGACCTTCACCCACGGACTTCACTTCACGGTATAGAAAAAGGTTCCCTTCCCTTTTGTCTCACACTAAATTAAGTGTAGATAGTTTTTATATATTTACTGAATCGTTTTCGTCAAAACACTATGCCTTTAAAAAGAATAACATCACTAAAGGCTGAATTTCATTCCTCATGTTAAAATGTTGAAGAATGATTGATAACCATGGCTAGAACATGCAGATAAACTTTATAATACCACATCGAAGAATTCTAAAACTTCACCGTCTCAGGAAGATTAAATTCCTATCTGATGAAAAGTATAACATTTTCAGATCCATAAGTTTCCTTTTCTTTAAAAATATTACTTACAATGATGCCAGTAGTAGCTCCACAAGCTCTACCGACAGCATCTGAAGATGGTAGGTTGAAAAGACTACTACTAGAAGACAGCGACACATTCAGAAATACTAAATTTTATAATTTTACATATTTATCCAGATCGAAATTATAATTATCATACTAACATTCTTCATTAAATGAATTATCATATTTTAAAAACTACATGTTTTCTTTACTGGTTGATTGGGTTAGCTAATCCACCCACTTGAAATAAAAAAAAGTAAAGCCGGATAACAACACCCACTCGTTTTAAGCGAAAATTCATTGGTCTATTAGATCACTGAGATAACTATTCAGGAGTAGACAAAATTATACATGAATTTATGAATAAATGAATAACAATCCCATTAACTTTTGTCCTTTACATCTGAATATAATCATAATAATATATTAGTTCTGTTATATACTGATGATGTGAATTATTATGTCATACATGATGATAATATGATCATTTTAGTCACAAGATGACATCTTTCCTATTGAGTGAAAAAGTTAAACATAGCATCAGTGATTCAACAGACTTCTCGAATTACAACAACAAAAGTTTCAGTAGTGATATTTTGGATGGGAAAAATTTTACAGTCTACGCATTACCTGGTTATTATAATATATGGAAATCTATCCTTCTTGGAATTATATTAAGTATTGCAGCTTTGTTAACTGTTATTGGTAATTTTCTTGTCTTTTTAGCATTTCTTCGTGAAAGATATATGCGTAAAAATCTAACAAACTGGTTTCTAGTTTCACTCGCTATAGCTGATTTATTGGTGGGTACTATAGTTATGCCATTTGCTATTTTTCATACTCTAAATGATGAATATTGGCCATTCGGTCGTGAATGGTGTGATGGATGGCATGCATTCGATGTATTAAGTTCAACAGCGTCAATACTAAATTTATGCGCAATAGCACTGGAAAGATTCTGGGCAACAGAGAATCCTATCACACATACATCGATGAGAACACGACGTCATTGTTTACTTATGCTTGCATTTGTATGGATATGTTCAATTCTTATTTCATTTCCTGCTATATTATGGTGGAGAAATACACAAGATTATATAGCCTCATCCTCTTACATTTGCCAGTTTACATCGGACAGCATTTATTTAATAGTCTCATCTTGTGTATCATTTTATATTCCGTTAATTGTTATGCTCATCGTTTATGCTCGTATTTATCAGACAGCAAGTAATTTAATGAAAAGTTTAAAAAGTGGTGAAAAAATTGTTGTTTATTCACATCCTAAATTTAATTCACCGCCAAATTTCAAGTTTTTAACAAATAATTCATCAAATGAACAAAAGAAAAAATCATGGTTTAAGACAAGTAAAAACAAAATAAAACCGAATGAATTTATGCCATCACATTTCTCTATGTCTCAAGGAGATACGATGGTTCTTCGTATACATCGTGGTGGAAAAGTTGATACTATTAATTCTAATATCAATAATAATAGTCATAATAACAATGATAATAACAAGTTGAAAACACATAAGTTAAAGGCTTATTCTAACCGAAATCATTATTTTGATAAGAATAAAATTAAACAAAAGAAGACAGGCAACGCGATAAAATTCACAAATTCTGTTTGTTTAAATGATAAGCGTAAAATTAACACAATGTCAAACACAAATACAAGAATCAATATGACAACGAGGACCCCTATAACTAATAGTGTTTTATCTAATTCTGCATTACCACCACTGGGGAAGCGCAGTAAAACAGACATGAAAATTGTTAAACCAAAGTGGAAACATACATATTCTTTGACACAAATATCCACGCATTCACAAATATTTTCTGATGGACTTAATAGTGGTAAAGTAATCAATTATCAAATGAAAAGTGAACTTAATTTCAGACGATCACATTCTTCTGGCATTCTAAACTACTTATCGCAATCGCATCCAGTGATGCAATGCTTTAAGAGACATCAACATCAAAGCAACAAATATCACCTTATCATTTAATAAGAGGTACGGAAAGCTCACAATATTACATTCAGACGGATTATTACAGCAATTCACCGAGACAATACCAGAAGAAACACTCATCATCTTCCGCAAGCGATCAGTCAAACTACATGAGGAAACAAACGAATCATCTTTGTTATGCATATGATTTTCCTCGTGATAAACTTAAGCCTTCCGTAGCTAGATTAGTTATGAATCAGCAAAGTATTAACAACGCTTCTCATCCATATGTTACAAATAATCTATCTAATATTGTTACCACTCCAGCTGTCCATGATGGTTATAGTGGAACTAGAACAGATGGTCACGGATGTGTGACTGTCATGACCGGTAATATAGATCAACAGATGACATGTTCACTATCAAAAACGAAATATTGGATTAACCAGTTAAGAGAGTTTGCTAGGACACGGCGTGTCTGCAAATTTGTACGTGAACAAAAAGCAGCTAAAACACTTGGTATTATAATGGGTTTATTTATATTATGCTGGTTACCATTTTTTGTGTGTAACATACTAACAGCTATCAATCCATATTCAATTAACAGAAATACTGCATTCAAGCAAATTATTATTATTGTTACTTGGTTAGGATATATTAATTCATGTATTAATCCAATTATCTATGCTCATTCAATGCATGAATTTCGTAGGGCATTTAAACGACTTCTGTGTTGTCATTGGTGGCATCGTAAACAAGTTCAGCTGAGAAAATCAACATCATTTTCGAATCACAGTCGTCGCTATCACCAACATAGTACTTACCTTCATCGGAGTCATCATCATCATCATCATAAACATCATCAAAACAAACTTTGTCAGTCTGAAGATCAAAAGAACTCCTACCATAGTCAATTTAGTGGTCAGAGTAAACATAATTATGAAACAATGCTAGAAAATTACCAATCTCCTGTAAACTTCCCCAGTGTAACAGAATACCAATCAGGTAAATGTCACACTCAACAACAGAATGCTGAAAGTAGCTATTTATCATACAGTATACTTTTGCCAAATTTAAGCGACTCAATTTGTTCCAAATACAAGTAGAGAATACAGGATGGACGTAAGGTTAAATCAGGCAAATTGCTTGTTATTTGACTTTTAGTATTGATAACTGCTCTCTGTCTGTAACAGTATAAGCAAATTTATACTAACTGGAATAGCAATTCAACACCATAATGTCTGCTCAAATACGCTAATAACTTTTATCATTTGCATTTTTTAATAAGGAAATTTATTCTATTAGTTACATAACTATAAATGCATAGATAACACGCCAACTAAATCATTATGTAATTCAAAGACATATCCGATAACAGAACAGATTAGCTGAATTTATCAAAACGTTTAAAAGACTTTAGTCTGCATAATATTTATGACAGAAACAGAGCTGTCATAATACTTGTCTGAGAAATGTTATGTAAACGTCATTTAAAGTGTTCAATTGTGGCACTTTATTTAAATCTTCAGAACTGTAAAAAAAATCAAATGAACATACCTTTTACACTTTATGTGAGAGAAAACTGAGATGTTTTTGTATATTTATATATGCATATATATATATATATATATATATATATATATATTAATTAAGACAATCTTATTTAGTTCTTTTTGTATACTGAAGTAAAGTATGTGCAGTTGTAAAAATTTATATAAACCGTAATTTACCGACATTCAATAATAGTAAACTACGAAACATAGTGACCGACAAAATTGAATTTTTCACTTTCAAAATGAAGAAAATGAAGCTATTTTAAGTCAAAAGAAGGCCAGATGAAACATACAACTTCCAGCTTCTCATTTAAAACTTGTAAAACCGTATGAACATTTGCATATTTAAATGAAAACAGATCATACTTTTGTTTGACAACCTAGAGAACCCCATTCATAAAAATCAGTTCACATGAGTTTAAAAGTCAATCTGAACGAAGAATATTCTTTTCAATAATTTCTCTTCAGGTTCTTACAATTATAAAATATAATATTTGTAGTAGTCACAATAAAGGCCAGTTATGCGGCGGATACATTTTTAACGTAGAATAACAGATTAGTTATGGGGTGTCAAAATAAATAGTCATATTTGTGTGACAAACGTGCTTTGGACTGAAATCGATTAGAAAATATTGTAAAACGGGAGACAATGGTGGTGATTAATCATAATAGATTTGTAGAGTGTGGGGTAGGAAAATTGACAAATCAGTTCAAGGTTATAAAAGGTGTCAGGTGAGTGGCTAGTACAAAGTGGTCTGTCTTGAACAGGAGATAGTAAGACTGCAATGAGAGGTTCATAATGAGATAACGAATGAGTTAAATGAAACAGGTGGAGGCATATATTGAGAAAACAGATAACATCACTAATAATAAGTCCGTATAAATGAAAAATTCGATAGTATTCAGGGAATGTTTGCATAAAGGGCATAAATTATGACGAATAATAATAACTGTAATAATAATAATAAGCAAAGCAAAAAAACAACAAAAAAAGCAAGAGGGTTAAGCGGAAGGAGCACTCTTGGTGAGAAGAGGAATCATCAATCCAAGGTTGGCCACGGTAGAAACAGCGTCTGGACGTGTTCTTTTTGGATACAAAGTTCCGATTTAGTCGATCTTATTGCAACAGCTTCAGCTATGTGTAGGAGACGTAAGCGAACTGTACGTAATAACGACTTCGGAATTCGGTATATAACCCTGAAAGCTGTATTGACATCGATGCGATGTCCAGTATCGACTAAGTGTGACAGGATCGAGCTTTTTATGCACTTAATTTCCCCCCTGCTGAACCAAGCTGGTAGATGTTCTCGAACCCGTAGACGAACCTGCCTAATCGTGCGCCCTATATAACTTGAACCACAGGAACAGTTGAAATGGTATATGCATGAAGAAGAGCTAAGGTTAGGTAAGACATCTTTGAGTTGCTGGGTGAACATTGGACGGCTAGTGAAGGATAGACACAGACGTGCACAGTAGGAAGTTTTCTTGATCACCCTGGTTAAACGTTGGGATAGAATCTTCGCAGGAGTATCTCCCTTGAATTGGAGACGTAAAAACAAAGGCTTTTTCTCCACAGTTGCCAGTTCATGTTTACGATTATTGTAACCTATGTTGGCTTTAATGAACTTCTCTGGATATCCGTTCTGGCTTAGAATGTCTCGGATGACCTGGAGTTCTTTCTCTACGCAGTCTTCGGAACAAATAGACCTCGCTCTAAATGCTAAGCACCTGATTAGATTACGTTTGTATTTCATCGGTACGAAGCTAAAGAAGTGTGTATACTGAGCTTTGGTTTCTAGCTTTCTAAATATGGTTCTTTTGATGGAACCATCCTCTCTTCTCGTTAGTAGGACGTCGAGGAAGTGTAGAGAGTCACTGTATTCTCCTTTATTGTAACGACCACAAATATTATATTTTATAATTGTAAGAACCTGAAGAGAAATTAATGAAAAGAATATTCTTCGTTCAGACTGACTTTTAATTCATAATATGGGAATATATCACACATGAGTTCAGTTCGACTAAAGCTGAGTAGATAAAAAATTAGACACTGTAAACGTCGTGAAAAGGTAAACATTCTCCAAAATTAAGTGGACTTTTACCTCCAGGACAGAAGAACAAGCAAAAGAGAAGACATAAGACTTCAGGTGTACATATGTAAGATAGAAGTGATGACAATACAATAACAAACAACAATCGCCATAATTTAGAGGAATTTAAAGGAATTCGTCTCCTACACTTACCTGGCTAAACAGTATCATTCCAACTACAGGCGGCATAGATGACGACGCCAAAGCCAGACAAAATCTGATATACACCACATAGCACAACGAATATGATCCGAACTTTCAACGGTGATATCAGATAAGTCAGTGATTTTATGTGGTCGAGAGGCATGGTACATTCATCAACAAAAGTATTTTCAACACACAAAGGACAATAGTCAACACCTGTCTTCTACTCTCGATGCCAAATATCAGAGCAACTAAGAACTTATCGCCCAAAAATTATGCAGAAGGAATTGGAAATAGAAATCCCATAAACTTCAAAAGATATCATACGCCAGGTCCTTTGATGGAATCTGGATGTACATTAAGAAGTTTAGCGCCTCTAAACGACATTGTAAACGTCACATGATGAGGAGGCGAAAGCTTTTGGGCAGCTGTGTAGCCAGCTATGGATGATGCCAGATAACTATGTGTGAGTTCATGTTTCTCTTGGAACGCAATAAATACACAACAGCTAATAATAATTACAGTAATTTTAATCTAAAAGTGCATTCATATTTTATACGCAAGTGACTGAATGTTACACTAACAAGCATATACCCCTTGTAAACTAATAATCACTAGTTTATTATGTGAACTAATATTGTTCTATCCAAACGATGTTTTAATAAGCCGTAATCCTTTTTTCCCATTTCTTCTGAAAACTCCAGCATAGTAGACTGAGACCCATGTGAAAATCGGTGTAAGTTCTGAGTACAACTCAAATGAGAGATTGGATAAATAAAAAACGTGAAACAGATTGAAAGATGCATTTTGACAGATGAAAAATTTGATAGCCATCCTATTCAAGCAAATATCTATGAATAACAATAATAGTTGTAATGCTCATCATAAGTAAGGATGAAGCAATTCGTCTGAATGATATAAAAAAAATTACAGAAGAGTGTTTGGGAATGTTGAGATAAGGAAAAGACTACGTAATAGTAGTAGTAAGGGGAGAGAAACGACTTCCAAAGATAAAATGTAGTAAAATGTAAAGCTTGTTCTGTATCAGATGACTGAACAAGTATTTTGTCTGAGAAATTCTGCTCTATTTTAATAAAATCCCACACAACGAAAAAAACCTTCTCCAAATAAAAGACTAAAAACCAAAAGATTCTCTATCTAATTGTGTCTATAAAATAAAATACTTGGAATGTGATGCGATATACATCGGAAAAACATATCGCGAAATCAAAATCAGAAGAAATGAACACCGTAGAGCATCTCTGCGATCACTGAGAAATCCAATTGAACTAGAAAAACTTCAAAAATCATCAGCCATACGTCTACATGCTATAGAATCAGGCCACAAAATTGATTTTGACAATATTGAAATAATCCAGAAAAACTTCAGAAATCACAAAGAACGTCCAATATCAGAAGCATTCATATCAAGTGGAATCCAAATTGCCGGAATAGGAATGATGGACTGAAACAGAATCTGACCTGGCTACAACACCCCCTCCCCCATGAAGTAGCAAAATCAACACAAATGTGATAAGCAAGTTCACTATGTAAACACACACTACTTTCATAATTCTACACACTGATAAAATCCAACAATCTACACTCGATTTTGTTATCTTTACCAATTCGCCAACTTGACAACCAAAAATGACCCCAGACTAACGAACGATGATCAAGTTAGTAAACTTTGTTTTGATATAATAACAGATATACTATACTATATATACCTTTGATATTTGGTTTGAACGATCTTCATTGTTATTTTAACCATCAATATGTCCTTTTAAGTTGATCTAAGTCTATGTTCTCACCCCTCAACTCTTTGTTATATATATGCTGAGATTTTGTAAATTCCGGTTAAATAATACTTTGAGAAAGCTATAAGCATAAAATAGCGAAACGTGAGTAAAAACAATATCGTTTTGTTTTTCATTCATTGGGAATTATAAAGCCTTTTTTTATTATATACATCCCCTCGGAATCGTTCTGCTTGCAATCTGCAATGATGAATATTCAATCAAAAAATGTAACACTGAAACCGAATGTGACACGTCTACTTTTGATGAATAAAAGATTGGCGTTCCTAAATCTACAATCCATTATTTTTTATCTAAATTTCTTCTCCTTAGTGGCAGTTTAGATCAAATTTACTAAATGAGTTTATTTTGTCTTTATAAATTTAGTTAATCTGATCTATTATTGCTCAAATTCTTTTACATACACATATGGTGTTCAGAAATTCTTCTAACAAGTAGACTGAAGAGAGCATTGTTTCAATAAAGCGTATGTGGTGTACTATCTAATAATTTATGATCT